GTTCACCATGAAATTGATTTAGCAGCATGGGATTCAAAACGACAATCCTTTTTGGTTTCTTGTACACATTTCTCATACAGACAGAGTTCAACAAATAGCACTCCTAAAACCAGTTAGGCCTCCGATCAAGAGTGTGTGACTGAATGCTTTTTTTACACCAGCTCTGGAACTGCCCCTAACCTTATTTTATTAGAAATGTGTTCACCAAATTTAATGGGACTTATTTCCAGTGGGTAAGCATACTTAGCCAGGCAGATGAATTCTATGCTAGTTTGCTCAAAATTACAGTATGTCCCAAGGAATTCAATGCACTTTTTCAATGAGGAAGGGGGTTCCTTTCTTCCTTACATAATCCATGTACTTCACAACTCTCATTTCCTGTTGCTAAAAAGCTTCTGATAAAGTAAAGGTAGGGAACATGTGGCCCTTCAGATGTTGTTGGACTGAAACACACATCTGCCCTAATCAGCACACCCAGTGATGAGGGATGATGAGAGCTCAAGTCCAAAAGTATCTGTAAGGCGATATAATCTCTATCCCTGCAATTTACTACAAAGTCAAGGTTCAACTAAAAGTTTTCTTTTCATTTTCGTTATAAAAACTTCAATAAAAAGACTAGCACATGTTATTCATCACAAGAATTTTATGGAAAATGTATATGTTTTGTTTCTGTAATAAGTCATTCTAATGCTCATTTTATGTACTTGATATGTCTAGTGCCAGGTCCAAACATTTAGAGAACTAACCAGCAAGCACTGGCCTAGAAGTAGTATATACTTTTGATAATTTTGAGATCATACAATTTGTGACACTATGTGATCGCAAGAATTTCATTTATTTTGAAATTCTGTGGAATTTCTTATTTTCTTATTAAGTAAAAGAAGACAAGATGACAGTACTCTGTTGGCAAGAGCACATCAGAAATTAGTTTAAAATCTGCTACACAACATCAAGAATCCAATACACATTGCAAATATCTGCTGGCTACTGTACAGCATCAGAGTTTCAGAAGAAGATCAGTCTATGCTTTATAGACTACAGCAAAGCCTTTGACTGTGCAGATTATGATAAACTATGGGTTGTTCTGAAAGAAATGGGTGTTCCTCAGGACTTGATTGTCCTGATGTATAACTTGTATTGTGGACAAGAAGGTATTGTTAGGACAGTACATGGAGAAACAGGATGATTTCCTACAGGCAAAGGGTGCATTTCACCCCTTTATCTGTTCAATCTGTATGCAGAACTTATCATATGGAAAGATTCAGATGAAGAAGTGAAAATTGGTGGAAGAACCATCAATAATTTAAGATATCAGGTGACACCATGTTACTGGCAGAAAGCACCAATGACTTGAAATGATTTTTAGGGAAAGTGAAAGAAGAAAGTGTCAAAGCAGGACTACATCTGAACAAGACAAAAATCATGACTACTGAAGAAATACAGAACTTTGTATCAGAACACTGATAATGAAGAAATTGAAATAGAGATTTTGTATTCCTTAGTTCAATCATCAATCTTAATGGAGACTGCAGCCAAGAAACCAGAAGAAAACTAAGACGAAGAAGGCCAGCAACAACTAGAAAAGATCCTCAAGTACACATAAGTGTCACTGGAGGCCAAGATCAAGATTATCCACAGTCTTATATTTCTGATCACCATGCACAGCTGTGAAAGCTGGACAGTTAAGAAAATAATTGTTTGAAATGTGGTGCTGGAGGAGAGCTTTGTGGATACCCTGGATTGCCAGAGAAATGAACAAGTAAGTTCTAGATCAAATCATCCCTGAACTATCTCTGGAGACAAAATGTTGAATGTAGAGGCTGTCCTACTTTGTTCCAAATAGTGTAGCCCTAGATCGTGCTGGAATTTTTAGCATGTATACATTACTGAAAGAGCGACGTCTACATTGGCTTCGGCATGTTGTGACAATGGCTGATGGTCAGATTCCAAAAGATATCCTGTATGGAGAATTAGTGCAGGAAAATCACCCCAGACGGAGACCACAGCTGCAATACAAGGATGTCTGCAAGCGGGATCTGAATGCCTTGAAAATGGACCTCAACAGATGGGAAGCCCTAATATCTGACCGTTCAGCCTGGAGGCAGGCGGTGCATCAAAGCCTCTCCCAATTGTCCAGCAGACTGAGGCAAAGAGGCAGTCCCGAAAGCAGCAAAATCAGGGAGCTGGACAGGGAACAGATTGCATTTGTCTTCAGTGTGGAAGGGATTGTCTCAAATTGGCCTCCTCAGCCACACTAGACACTGTTCCAAGTCCTCCATACAGAGCACATTACCATAATCTCAGGAGACTGAGGGACACCTAAAACCTACTTTGAGCACATCATGGAAAGGCAAGGTTTTCTGGAAAAAAGCAATAATTCTGGGAATCATTATTGGAAAGATAGAAGGCAGCAGGGAAAGACGAAGACCCAATATGAGATGGACTGACTCCCTAAAGGAGGGAGGAAAATTTGGAGATCACTCATCTATAGGGTCACCATAAGTCGGAGAGGACTCGACAGTGCATAACAGCAATAACAACTTATGCAAATTAAAATAATATGCATCGCGATGCCTAACCCCCTTCTGTTTACTTCCCTGTCTTGTATAAATCATCTATAGAAAATAGAAAGGAAGAAAGTATGGTTGCTTTGGAAGTGCTGGGTTTTTTCCTCAGAAATCAGATATGGTCCAAAAAATACTAACAATGACAAACACTCTGTGAAAACAGCTGAAATAGTCCCACAATATACAACAACTTATCTATAATATAGTGATTCTTTAGGATACACAACAGTGGCATGGAAATGGCACTGGAAATGACAATATTGTTCAACACGATCATAAATTCAATGTTGTTGTTGTTTAGTCATTTAGTCGTGTCCAACTCTTCGTGACCCCATGGACCAGAGCACGCCAGGCCCTCCTGTCTTCCACTGCCTCCCGGAGGTCAATGTATAACCCTTATTCAATGTATAACCCTGCAAATACTTGATTGCTTTGGCAGCCATTCTAGGCCAAGTTGTTTCTTCCTTCTGAGACCTGCTACATCCCACAGATTCAGCAACAGAATGGTAGTTACTTGTATATATCTTCTTAGTGGCTTTTTTCCGTTTCAGTATATTTCAGACATACTGCAACTAACCTAACTTGTTAGCAGATGGGATACAAATACTCCCCTCGAAAGAAAGAAAGGTTATTCTGTAGTCATGAGTTTTGAATTCTTAATATTCAACTGCAGACCTGCTTTGGACAGAATGCATACAATCATCTTAAGGGAATGGTAAGATCTTGGAGAGAATTTATCAACATAGGTTATCCTGGTCCAAGATAAACTTTGCACCATAGGAAATTTCTACATGATAAAGATGATTTATGGACATTCTGTACTTTAAGCTTTCCCTTGCTTAAGACAGTATACAAGGACAAATCCTAACCACATCTAGAAATTATGGACCACTGTTTGTGGGGCAAGAGCCAAAAGTAACAAGGCACAGATTTTAATATACACATGTTAACTGGGAACAGTAATGTTGTGTCATATTTTGCTGCCTGAGTGGATGATGATTAGTATTTTATCCCTTCTGATTTTGTAAAATACCAACATTAAAGTCTTGCAGTGGACCCAAAAGCTGGCTAAATAGCAGTTATGGAATCTTTAGAGCCATACAACTAAAGCTTGATTTATATTGTTGGTTAAAACTCATCCAATGAAATGATACCTATAACAAAAACAGCATCACACTTATGTATGCTGAATTATGAAGTATTTCTGGAAATGTTAATCAGTTAGCAAAACAAGGAAGAGAAAATATAAACTGGGAAAAGGCTGTGTGGTTCAGAATTATACAAATGCAGGAGTAGGGTGATACCTTTACTGAATCATTAAAAAAATCACAAATTGAAAGCTTTCATAGGTAAAACCTCACTTCTTCAGGTTGTGCATCCTCCCTTCATTGAGGGTGCATAAAATGCAGGTCAGAGTCTCAAAAATTAATGTCAGATGTCTGTGCTGAGTCTGCATGTATGAGGTGAGTTAAAGTTAGCTGTGCCACTTATAGAAAACTGACTTGGCTAGAGCTGTCACTTGGAAACCTTCTTCAAAAGTGAAATTTAGTTTTTCAAAAACTTAAATAACATGCAGTTAATGTGGCCTTCTTTGCTGATTTGACGGCTTCATTTTTTTTGGCTCTCATGCTGTAGATGGAAAAATAACCTCCAGCTGCCAAAGCCAGAAAAAATTCATATTGATTAGATTCTTTCCAAAGGGATAGGATTATGAAGTGTTGCAAGGTAACTGTGTGAAATCCCAGAAGGTACCCATGCTACCAAACCTTCATTTACACAGGTGCATTTCTTAGGCCATACATATCCTGGATCATCTTGGAAAAGCTACAAAAATGCAGGTAACTAATCAAATAGAGAGGTATGAAAATTGAAAATAGTTCCAAGCTGTGACATAAAGCTTATAAGTTCCAGGCAGTGACATTAAACTTATATTGTAACAATAGGTGCACTGTTAGTGTGATGGGGGTAATGTGTGAAATTAACTTCAGCAATCCTGTTCCAATCCCAGATCAGGTCAAATAGCAAACAGCAGAGAAAGAACAATAATAACCTACGTTAAGAGGGAAAAAATTGCAACTGCCAAAGTCTGTACAGTATTAACCCCAGTTCTCCTGAAGCTCTTCCTTCTGGATTTGTCTAATTGTAGTAATTGATGGGAGGCACTGAGATTTAATATGAGTGAAGACAACATCCTCACATAACCACAAAAATCACTGTTTCTCAAAACTGAAGATAGCAGTGCTGGCCCCTTTGTGTCAAGAATCTGGGTTACTCAAATTAATTACTAACAAATAGCAGTGCAAGCCATAAAAAGGGAGCTGGGAAATGACAATTTAATTTGGGGACAGTTCAATTTTATGATGCACAAAATTGATTTCAAAGGTTTAAAAAATGATACGTATTTAGGAATATAATTGATGATTTATTCTTTACCTGGCACACCTGGCACAAATGTTTAATGTGACCTTAGCTTGCAGTTCAGCTGTATGAGTGCTTCGAGTTTGATTAAATTTGCTCCCAGAAGAAATGACAGTGGTTACCCCTTCCATTCTTAAATCGTCAAGATCCTCTGCAAGTGAAAAAAGCAGGTGCACCACTCAGCAAATATTTCCAATGAATCACAACGTCTTCATGTTAGAACCATTAAGAACATTCCCCCCCCCAATTTTTTGGAGAAAAGGAAAAAAAAGGAACCTGTTACCAACCATTTGTAAACTATTCATTGAAATATTACAAATCTTTGTTTAGAAATATGGTTAGGTAGTTGCACCCAAAGATAATACAGTACTTGGATATTTTTCCAGTGCTAGGATGGAATTTTTTATCTAAATTCCAGCCCACATGGATTATTTCTTACATGGATGTTTATTAAGATAATTTTAGCCTTTTTCACATCCCAAAGATTTACTCAATCTGTACATTATTCAATCCATAAAGAAAATGCATTAGTGCCCTCAAGTGGCAACTACGTAATGTTGGAAATAATGCTTCTATATCAAAGTACCAGCCTGCAATATTATTAATATACAAGATTTAGTTCTAACAGATCTTATTATAAGAAGAATGGGGGGGAAAGCCAATGGAAGTAAATGGGCAGCAAACATTTGCTCGATTTCCATAGCACATACATGTCTGTTGCAACTTAGCTCCCTCTTTATCTTTTTTCTGTCCATATGTTGCTTTCTCCAAAAATCAAATTGAAGGGGCCCCAAAAGCTTGTCATTGAGTCAGCTTTCATCAGTGAGGAGCAATCACTGAACAGTGGCAATCAGGGCTGACAGAAATTGGACCACAAAGCCATGCTCTTATCCTTTTTAATTCTTCTTTTAAGTGATACAGGCCCTTCTAAAGGCAGCATGTAAGTGACTTTAATGTCCATTCTGACTGCAAGGCAACTCTTCCTCCCTTCCATTTGCTGCCAACTATTTTCTTTAGAGCCAGGAAGTTCCAATTCCAAAGCAAGCAATGTCAGTAGGGCATTAGTAGTCTCATTTGCCCAGCTAGATTTAACATGTAAAGATGCAGGCATCTAGTCTTGCCTATCTCCCTCATCACTCTAATTACAGGGGAAGTAATGCATCTAAAGAAGCATTCTTGTTCATATACAGACTTTCCATAAGAACAAGGATGGGATTTTTCAGAAATTTTGCTCACAAAAACAGCCTCCATGTGTACAAGAACTTCTCTTCTTTAGATGTGTTGTTCTTCATGTAAGGAAATTAATGACAAGAAGGTAAGGTTTGGAATATTCCTCTTCATCTGTCAAATTCAGCTGGGTTTTGAAAGCATTTTCATAAGCATTTTGAAAAAGGACTGAACACCACCTGCATCTCTGTTGATTTCCAGTATCAGGAAAAATGTATCTTTGAAGAGATTATGTGGTAGTTGATTGTGTTCTCAACATGAGACACAGAGACTTTATATTTTGACATATATGTCACCTGCTGCAAAGAAAAGGAGAACATCATAAGACTGAACCATCTCCAATCAACAAGTTTCTATGTTTATCATCCTCTGGAAATATTTTAGAAGAGGAATCCTCCTGAAAAGCAGATAATTTCTAATAAACAGCATTTTGTTTATAGGCAAGCAGAGCAATGGGAAAGAAGAATCCATCTCTCAGGAAACTATAGGGATATAAAGGTAGCCAACCCCCATCCCCACAGTGAGTGTTAAGTACATTTCACTATCTCAGGACATTTTCTCACCAATATCAGATGCAATATCAATTATTTCACTAGAACCATACTATAAAGGAGCCAGATTACTGGGAATTCAAGTTAAGCCAATAATATCACAGACATTTGTCTTCAAATCATATCATTGCAGAATTATGGAAAATGTGTTCTTTTTGTTTGCAATAGTTGGTCCCAAAAGCTGCCTTCATAAGCATTTTGAAAAAGGACTTACTTTGGAAAGGTAAACATATGAGAACCAAGAAAAGCCAAAAGTCCCATTAGACTAACTGAAAACTGTTTCCGGTTCTGCAATAAAGTCTGCTTTATTGCAGCAATCCTCAAAGTGCTAAACTGGCACAGGCCCTGCACGTTTCAATCAAGCTTCTGCTTCAGAAAGACTTTTCAGAAGTGGCAGTAGATTATTTGGTGTGATTTATAGCTGGCAGATCCTAGCGTTCATTGTGAAATCAGAGAAGCCTCTGCAATATGCTGAAGTTGGGGGAAAATGAGGATGTTTTTCTCCCACTATTTGTGTGAGAAAAAAAATAGCTTTTGTTGCCATCCTGCATAGAGAGAACACCTTCTGGACTGCAAGCCATCTGAGCAAGCACTATCTTACCTCTGGGCTCTGCATTCTGCCCAGTAGCACCTGCTGATACTTAATAAATCAAAATGCTAACATTTCTGTAGATGTTTAAAGCAGCTTGCTTCTGTCAGCCACAGTAAACAGGCTAACCCTGTATCAGGAAGGACAAAATTGAAAGGTAAGGTTAATGGATAAATGATGCAGGAATAAAAAGGCAGCCAAAAATCCCCAACTTTAAACTGGTTCTAAGGCTCTACCTGGGGACTTGCAGGTAAAATGGGCTTGCAGGAGGGACTTTAAAAGAATGGACAGGAAGTTATTTAAGATGTAGGGAAACAACTGGCAGAAGACATATGCAAGAGAAAGAAATCAAGGTTGTCAAGATAAGAGAGTGGAAGAATTAAAGAGATTTTTACAGATAAAAGGGTCCTTACAGTTCTTGTGAAGACAGAAGCTTTTAACGATGCTTAATTTTCTTATTATTTATTATTATTTTATTTGTTATATTTATACACCAACTTTAGTTCAATAAGCTCAAGGCAGTGTACATCTTTGTAAGGTAGGCTGGGATGAGGTAAAGTTACTGGGCCAATGTCATCTCGTGTATTTCATGGCTGAGGTATAATCTGAACTCAAGTATCCCTAGGCAAACACTGTATTCACTACACACCACTGTGTAGAGAAATATACTATTCTACTTTTTGTGCAAATTTGGAAGAAAAAATGAATTACCATCTACACAGCCTGGCTTTTGATTCACAACACTCCTGTTCCTGTAAGACGTGCCAGTATCAGAAATGCTGGAAAGGTTTTTCTAGCACTGGTAAAATCCGGAACTTCATTAGATAAATTTGACTACATTATGGAAATACAGTAGGACCCCCTTAAGCACAGGATCAGCACCACTGATTCACTTACCCATTGTCTGAAAATATTAAAAGAAAAAAGTCCAGAAAAAAAGTGAATTAATGTTTTTTAATTACCCAGCAGTTCCATTGCATCATCTTCATTGTCAATATCTTCTTCTGTTACTGAAGGAGCTGTGCTTTGTACAGAATCAAATGAATCTTGAGAAAGCATAGCTGCTAGTAATTTCTTATGTTGTTGTTGCTGGTGCTTCAGTCCTTTTGTCTTTGGTTCCATCTTCAAACTAAAAAAGAAAGAATTGCCTTCTTGATTTGTCAGTCTCTCCATAAATGAACTGTAGCAAGCTCCGTGTCCTCAAAAGGGGAAATACACCTGCAAATTTCATCTAATTCAACAAAAAAAGAAAGGTACAGGCAGTTTTTCAAGAACTCAGATTTAAAAGCTGGATGCATTAAATGTGTCTGAAATTTGGCAAGCTCTGTTCACTCTTTAGAGGTTACTAAGCCTGAAAACTTTTTTCAGTTCTGTCAAAATTTAAGAACGATGGAGAGTTACAAATTTCTGTTTTCCAAAGTAAGGTTCTGATTCAGACTCAGTTAAGCATGTGGTTAAGCAAATCTTCCAATTCAGCTTCTGAAGTGTCAAACCAGAATCTGAACTAAATTTGATCTCTGATAAGCATCCTAATTCAAGCCACTACATTCAAACATGAGGTAGTGAGGGCTCAGCACATCCAGAATTCTGCAAACTGTATTCTTGAATGGTTAATTCACTTGCATTTAGCAAACATTCCCAACCAACCATCAAATTGCCTTTAAATATTTATTACTGCACTGTTAAATCTTACAACATTCTCCAACAAACTTAACATTTAAAATCACCTGGAAAATATTTAGAAATTAGCTGTCCCTATATATAATTTAATGCAAGATTATTTTGAAGTGGCCAAGTCACTGACTCATTCAAATATAAACAATTAAACTCAATCCAGTCACAGCTTAATCAGAGAGTATTCGATGTTGGAGTCACAAACACATGGTAATTAATAATTTAATAATTAATTAAATGAAATTCATTCTGTAAAAAGATACATTACTCTTAATAGGACATCCTTAACCTGTTGTTATACAGGGACATCGAAGTATCACTAAATATCTAGCCAATCTGAACTTTAGCCACTGCAGAGGATTTGAAAGAGTAAGGCTAACATCAGCTCAAGTGAAAAGCCTGCTTTCTCCTCAAATGCTACCCGGCTGCAGCAAGGAAAGTAGACCATCAGCTTAGCTGAGAGATCAACAATGAGCTCCTCTCCTTGAACTGTTAATGCCTTCTTTTCAGTCTAGCTGCTCTTTATAAGAATTTTATAAAAACTGAACCTGAATTTTTGGGCTATTATCCCTTCCTTTCTGCCAATACCTTCTTCTTTTCTGTCATGTCTTGTAAGACTGTACGCACAACATAAGGGACAAGTCTTGTCGACATTTATAAGCCACTCTGGAAGCCCCTTCCCTTTTTTGGCTAAAGAGTTGAGTACAATTCCTTCAAATGGACAAATTGTAGAGTAGACAAACTGCTGTGTCGGTTGCAAAGAATTAAATATAAAATATGTGATGTGAAATCTTTTATGCCAGTATCCTATCACTGGTCCCAATTAAGAATAGTGCTCCAGTCACGTACAGCCTCTTCCCATAAGCAGCTGTTCACAGGTAGTTTTCCAAAATCTAAACAGTCCTTGGGAAATAGCTTTACATTAGAGGAAGAGCACTTAGTTTATGTGCAGAAGGGTGCAGGTCCAACCTCTGGTGTCAGCAAGTCAGGATAAGAAAGATTCTTGATTGAAACAATACTGGACTAGTACGGGATCTGATCCAGCGATAAGCAGTTTTCTTAAACATGTGCAGAGGATTTCATTAAAGCAAAGTTATGGGGCACTGGATGGTGGAAGGACAAGATTTGGTAGTCAGGTGCTTACTTCCAGGGCAAACAGTGCTTTGGTTTCACTGATGAAATGCCAATTTCTAAGAGCAATGCTAGCTACAGTAATCCTAAAGGCCAAAATGCCAATTTCTAAGAGCAATGCTAGCTAATCCTAAAGGCCAGTCGTGGTCCACCAAGTGGATAGAAGGACTACTTCTATATCTGAGTAACTTGCCTCTAGTTTAAGATGTTGCCCTATACCTGCCTTTGATTGCTCTGAGATTTGGTCTGCTCCAAATCTCAACTACAATTTGATTTTGACTGCTTCTGACCTTCTGTTCTTTCCTTGCTGTTCTTTCCTTGCCTATTTGGACTGGTAGCCACATATTCCTGCACCAAATTTTGAAAGTTGGTGCCTAGATTCTGACTCCACTGAGGCTTGACATCAGAAGAGTCTTATCCTTGTTCTTTTATTCTTATTCTTACTGGAAGTCAGATTTTGGGTGAATTTCAGGAAATGAATTAACTTTTTCAGGAAATGAATTCTTATCCTTATTCTTACTGGAAATCAGATTTTGGGTGAATATCAGGAAATGAATTCTTAACTTTTAGAGCATTATGGCAATGGAACCAATTACCTTGAGAGGTAGTGAGTGCCCCTACACTGGAGGCATTCAAGAAAAACTCAGACAGCCACCTGGCAGATTTCCTTTGATTTGTATTCCTGCATTGAGCAGGGTGTTGGGCTCGATGGCCTGATAGGTCCCTTCCAACTTCATTATTCTATGATTCTATGATTCTTTGCTTCTACCTACACAAGAACATGGGCATTTATTCCATTAAAGGCATATTAAGTGGAATGAGAGGTTTACATATATTTTCCCTATTCCACCCTTCCTCTTATGGCTGAAGCTAAATGATAACATCAGCTTCTAACATAGATCAGACAAAATGGGTGACTGTGACAGGATACCAAACAGAGAACCTCTGATATAGGTTTTGTACAAACAGCGTTAACTTTTACCTTCCTCCAGGACTGCCACTCTCTTCGCTGTCCCACTGTTCAATCTTGCTTCTTGGTACTGGGGGTTGTAGCATTTCATCTGCCAGTGGATCAGCATCATTTTCTTCACGGCCAACCCATTCTCCAACAACTCGAGGTCGCAGAAGAGGGGAATTAAAAGCTGCTGAATCCTGGAAACAGAAATGATTTAATAGCACTGATATATATCAACACAGAGGGGAAAGGTAAATGCTGCTTTATAGTAGCAATCTATAAAGTACTGACTTCTGTGCAAACAGGCATCAGAAAAATCATTAAATACATAGCCCAGAATCTTCTCAAAGAAAACTGCACATATACTGTAAAGGCAATCGCATAAGCATTTTTCTTCAGTTTCTCACCAGCTGTCACATAGATAGGCACAAAATCATTTTCTCAACTACCGAATGGCAGGAGTACAACAGATAGTCACTACTCAGATAAAACTGCTTATGTGATTTACCATTTATCCTACAAATTTACAAAAGGATTCTGGCCATATGTTGCCAATGCAACATGATTTCTAGTGTACAGGTCAGGCAAACTGAAGTTAGGAACTACATGAAAGAACTGACTTTCTGAATCGGATCCTAGTTTCATCTGCTCCAGAATGCAACCCTATAGCTGCTGTTAGATTGCAACACACCACATTCACCACCACTGGCTCTGCTAGCTATGACTGATGAAAGATGCTGTTCAAAAAAACAACTAGAGGGCTATATTTTGCCCATCTCTGTACTACAGTATCCTGTTCCCACAAAGGTCAGTGATATGTCCCCCCTCCTGAAAATCCACAAATCATTATTAATAGTTTTGTGACTACCTCCAATGAGAGAATGACACAGTCTAGGGACAGGTAGTATTCTTTTCTTTTTGTTTACACAAAACAGGTTGGGGGAACTTCCCATACTACCTAAACCTCAAATAGAATAGAAGAGAATAGAATAGAATAGAATAGACTGTTACAGGAGTCCAATTTAAATTTTAAAGGTAGTAGACTCTATATTCTCGAAAGCTTTCACAGCCAGGATCCGATGGTTGTTGTAGGTTTTTCAGCCTGTCTGGCCATGTTCTGAACACAGAGTTCTGACTCCTGTCCTCTGAAGATGCCAGCCACAGAGACTGGTGAAACATTAGGAGGAAAAAACCTTCAGAAAATGGCCAAACTCCCCAAAAAACCTACAACAACCATCATAGTAGACTATATGTATAAAAGGGCAAATTGTTAGCTATTTCACTTTTTTTTCTGATTACTGTCTTAATTGTCAAAGGTGCCATTTGTTTCAAATACTAGAATCATTTTAGCAACCTAAAATACTATGCACAATTACCTGGGACAGAGTCACTACTGTTATGTTTTAAGCAGAATAGCCAACAAACTCTTGAAAGAAAAGAAGCATAGATGCAGCTACAGCCACACAACGGGACTAGCTATGAAAAGGGTCCTTAGCAGAATGATGGGGTCTCTGCATGCAGACAGTCCCATATTCAATTCCAGGTTATCTCCAACCAAATTTCAAGGATGTCTAGGCAACAGGATCAGGATCTACTACTTTTGTTCCAGACCTTAAAGACCACTTCCAAACGGAGAAAGAATGATGCTCTGATCTAGTGTGTTTTCTTCCAGACATCGGAAACATTAGTGTTAGTGTAAACAAATGAATATTAAATCATAAACAATTTATTAAAACATTATTATTAAACTAGTAAGAAAATATTACAGCACTAATCAGTCCATTCAACCATGAAATTAAAAACATCATTTCAATTACTAAACAATATTTTAAATAACTAAAATTGGCTAATAGCTAATTAATGACAACTTTTAATTATTACTCAAAAATCTATCAATGATATAACTATTAAAAGAATGATTTTTATAATCACTGTTGTTGACATTTTAATGAATTCAGGGTAATGAGTTATTTCCAAGTTAATAACATTACTGCTCTCACACCAAGATACTTACTATAATTTCAACATAATTTGTTTTGTCTCTGTTTAAAATGAATTTTCAAAATATCTCTGCTTCCTGGTATGTATACAATTTCCTTCTCATTTAATACATAGGTAGGCAGCCTATGGTTTTTCTGATGTTTTAGGCTACCACTCCTGTAATTTCAGTTCATAATTAGATTGATGGTTGGGGATTATGGGAGGTGTCGTTCAAAACATCTGGAGGACAGAAGTTTGCTGAAATCCTACACCAGAAGTAGTCATGTTTTAGCACAGCTTAACACTTGTAGGTACAGGAGAAAAAAAATGCATCCTATAATAATTTAATTCAAATAAATATGCATTATATGTTTTGAGTGATAAGGAATTCTAGGAAACATTCCAGAACATTACTATTTGCCGGTGTTAAATCTCCACTGATAAAGTATGCATGAATTTATATGAATTTGTATTAGTTTGCTAGACATAGTTCTTACCTTATCAAGCTCATCAGAAATCGCAATGCCTACAAATATAACAAGATTACGATGCGTTTAAATGTCATTTTTTAAAAATTCAAATAATATACTTTATAGCTACATTATGACAATCTATTCTGTTTATAAAATTGATAAGACAGTGTAGCAAGAGGAGACAATATATGTTCTTCAAACAATTGTTATAACTCAGAAGCCCCTTGGCAGTTTTGGGACTCAACTGCCAACTTTTGACAGAGGGACAGTGGTGAAACCAATAATTTCGTTTCTCAAGGTATCCTGGGAACACACAACTTGTTTCAGTGTTGCACAGCTTTCCAAGATGTCTCTGGAAAGCATGGTTCTACTCTAAACTAAAGTGTGTGGTCTCTGTGCACCTTGTTTTAATAGAAAAAGACAATTTTACAAACTCTGGGTTTCCATAGTTCCAGTATTATATAGATGACAGTGTGGTCAGAAAGGCAGAAATAAGTCCAGAAACCCACTGCATTCTCCCTTCCCTATATTGTGATTTAAAATTATGTACACAAGCTTCAAGGCTTGCATGTTTTCCCCCACTTTCACTGGTTTTTTATGTTTCCACATAGTTGGGAGGCAGAAAACTTACATTTTTGCTTTCATTTTCAACTAGCTGTGATTGATTTTAGATGTCACAGTAACCTAGAATCCTAACTCACGATGACGTGCAAACCAGGTCATTATGTCTGAATGGAAACAAACTATGTTTAAGTCTTAATTACGGTTTTGGGAAGCAGGTCAATTACAAACCATTATTTACAATCCTTCCTTTGTTGCCCTAAATTGCAATTAATGCCTGCCACAGTTCTCTATTCTGACAATACTAACTGTAAACTGACAAGCTGAAAACTGGAAGTAGAATTTCTAGCTCCTTGCTCACACAGTGAAAAACAGATAGTGAAAGCACACAAGGCCAAGCCTATCCTAAGCTTATTTCTGTACCACTAAACTGTAGAGAAGACCACCAAAAGCATATTGTAGGGAACACACAGGGCTGCAGACAGAAGAAATAATCATTACTCTTACTTCGTCTTGTGCGTGGGAGATTTTGTTAGACTGAAAGCTATTCTTGAAATAAAAATAAACCCACTGGATTCAACACACCTGTGGCGTCCGCCCAGGTCATGAATATTAATGGGCTATCTGCATGTACCAATGAGACTGCTGGAGATGGAGCCACCAGATATAAGAGTCTCTGCAGAAAGGGGAGAGGGGGGATTTATGAATTTGGAGTTTGGGAGTGGAGAGGGAGGGTTGGCAGTTGAGGGTGGATGAAGAAGGATGTTTTGTTAAGAGTTAATGACATTGACTGTACCTTCATCACCTGTAATAATATTCTATTTGGTTCTTTTTACAATTTTAAAAAGGACCTCTATCATTAATGATAAACAATGGACCTCTATCATTAATGATAAACAATGTCGATGTAATCAACTAGTGGAAGCGACACAACATGTGGCTTGTACCCTTTGCTTGGGGAGACAGCCAGGGGACAGGTGGGAACATGACAACACCTTCTTTTCAAACCACAATAAATAAATACATGTCAGTATGGTACACATTTGTTAAAATGTCCTAGAAAGACATCCAGTTTGTTTTCTTAAAAGCTTTTCAAACTGCTAACCACTGGCCGATGTTTCAATCCATATTGCTTCCTTTTATTGATTTCTGAATTGACAAAAGCATACTGTAATACAGTGTACAGTAATTAACATTTTATAACCAGATCAATACTGTATGTGAAAAAATATGAGTCATTAATGGATTTTTTTACTCTCTATTTACCAAGTACTGTACATACATATTGAATGGAATACATTTTGCTTCCAGCAGTTAATTTGTTTTTAATCCTGTATGGATTAATTGAGCAATAAAGCAACATCTTTCTTTCTCGGTGTACAGCTGGGTTTGCAGGAGCTTAAAAACAGATAACTCAGAAGTCTTAGCACCAGTTTACTGTTCACTCACTAGAGCTGAAAATGCAAAGAACAAAACAATTTCAGTCTTGAACATGTATACATACATGATTCCCCATCCTGGACAACCTCAACAGGGCTGAAAAACATTTTTCCCCCCTTAGGTTTCCTGATAGACCATAAATAAATAAGTAAAGGAAGAATGGGGCACTGAGAATTTCCATAAAACTTGGGGAAAAAATGCCCCCATCTCTAAATGGTACAAGGGGGTTCTTTAAGCATTTTTTTCTATTTCCCCCCCCCCTTACATTATGGGAGAGCTGGAGGCTCCAGAATTACTAGAAGGTAGCAAAAATGGCCCTTGGAGGGACATATGAGCCATGGACCACATGTTTTCCACATTTGGTGTGAAATTTCATATTTGTATTTTTAAAATTGTATTATGCCAGTATTGATTTCAGCTTCCATCCTTTCTGCTTGCCATCCCTTCCTGAAAATATATTCAACACTCTATTCAAATAGTAAGTAATAGTGACAAACACCACGGGGCCTCGAACATATGCCTGCAAGATAATTATTCTTTTGTAATGCTAATTAAAGTTCTTCCCATTCTTGTGTTAATATATCTGAAACTGCACCACCCACGCGTGACAAAGTGAAATAAACAGATCGAGGTTTTTACACATCTACGTTTTGCAGACACTTAAAAAAACTTTGGGGATGAGATCCTGAGGTGTACCTAAAAACAATCCCTGGAAGAATTCAATGGCAGAGAACTTTGGGTAAGAGAGAGGAAGGAAACTGATAATCCACAGAACAGAGTACTTGAAAAAGGAATGCGAAGGCAATGTTTATATTTGTGCTGCTTAAGCATGCTGCTTTGTGAAACACAGAATGTACGTTTATGTTAATATGAGTATGATGTTGTAGCTATGAGCAGAATGTGAGATATGCATTGTACCTCTATGGTCAATCAAGCTACTATAAAAGGCAGTGTCAGCCAGGAATCTGTTCAGTTAGTGTGAGTTAGAATTAGGTCAACGACCCTGATGATATCTAGACTAAGACAGGGCTGACAGGGTCTTATATGACATGTACCTCAGACACTCAGATTGAAATATAAATGTAACTGATAATATGTATGAGGGCCAAAGCTAAGCTTTACCGATACAACAATATTATGAAGTGCTAACTATTTGCCAGCGAATGTCTGTCACACCAAACAACTTTTGTACTGATGTAATATAGTGTGTGTATGTGTGTATAATATATATAATTATATAAATAAAAGTAGTAAAAGTTACTTGTTATATTTCAACCAAGTCAATAGTAGGTAGGCATCCTTCAGTCTCGAGAGACTATGGTATCGTGCCCTGTATGGAGGGAACAGCGTCTAGTGTGGCTGAGAAGGCCAATTCGAGAGTGACAATCTCTTCCACACTGAAGACAAATCCAATATGTCCCCTGTCCAGCTCCCTGGTTTTGCTG